CGTGTGGTGGCTCTCCAGGGTGCTGCTCCCTGCCCTGGCACGGCTGGGTGCTGCTTGGAAAAGGGAATCGAGGGCTGTGACCACGGGATGCTGCTCGGGAGTCCCGGGCACTTGGAGCTGTGGTGAGGGGCTGCATCCTCCTGCCAGGCCGTGGGAGATGTGGGAGGACTTGGACCACGGCAGGTCTGGCATGGTTTATAATCGATGCCAGCCATTCAGAACCAGACCGTGGTGCTGGGGAAGCTCGTGGAGCCGGGCTGGGGTCGCCGGGGAAGCCTCGTGCTCCGTGGGTGTCCGGACATTGCCTCGGCTCCGGCTGCCGAGGGCTGCTGGGTTCGGCGCTGCCGCGGCAGACGGTGGCAGATGCTGGTGGGATGATGGGGCAGGAAGGAGCTGCCTGTGGGATTCACCAGGAGCCGGGCTGGCCGGGAGCACGAGGAACCCCACATCGCCCATCCCATGGTCCCCACGTGCGCCCCAATCCCCAGAACATCACATCCCCGAGAGGAGACGGCGCTCGGTTGGGCTCCGGGTGAACTTCTCCTCAACTTCTTGGAGAGAGAAGCTGCAGGAGCTCCCGGAGAACCATCTGCTGCTCCGGCTGAGCCAAGGCTGCGTGGGAGCGGGCACGGTGCGTATCGGAGCGGCTCCGCTTCCTGCCCACACAGGCAGGGCCTTGCCAGGGCTCCCTGCTGCTGGCAGCCCCCCGGGCAGCCCCTGTCCCCACCAAGGGCATCGCTGTGGCCAGCTGGATGCTCCTGGGAGCCAGGAAGTTTGGGAACCAGGGAGGTTTTTATGTGCCCTAAGGGCAGATTCCTCGTGGTCCCATCCTTAGAGAAGATCTGGTGGATTAAATGTTCTTTCGGGTCCTTTCCAGCCCAAACCGTTCTAGGGTTCTATGGCCATGCTCTGGCAAAGGCAATGGGAAGAGTTTCTGAATTTTCAGTTGTTTTCTGAGTGTTTTCCTGCAGCCCAAAACGAGCCCAGGGCACGGGGTGATGCTGCTGGCTCATTTTGGGCTGCCCCAGGGCCAGCAGCAAAGGCCACAGCCACATTTCAGTGCCACAGCTGCTGTCCTGCACGGACACCCGACGGGCAGGTGGAGCAGATCCAGCAAGGAGAAGAAGGATGTGGGATCAGCCGGGGTGGAGAGGGCCTGAGAGGACCATCCCTCTCCAGCCTGGCGTGGATTTCCCTTCCCAGGGGCAGCCATGGGCAAGCACAGCAGCAAGCTGGCCCCGGAGATGCTGGATGACCTGGTGAGGAGCACGGAGTTCAGCGAGCAGGAGCTGAAGCAGTGGTACAAGGGCTTCCTCAAGGACTGCCCCACCGGCATCCTCAACCTGGAGGAGTTCCAGCAGCTCTACATCAAGGTGGGCTCCAGCTGGGGGGTCTGAGTGGTGCCCAGGGGGCTGGGGCACCTCAGGTGCGGCCTCCATACCGAGCTCCCCCTCCTCATTTCAGCTCCTTTCTTTCCTGCAGTTTTTCCCCTACGGAGACGCCTCCAAGTTTGCCCAGCACGCTTTCCGCACCTTCGACAAGAACGGGGACGGCACCATCGACTTCAGGGAGTTCATCTGTGCCCTGTCTGTCACCTCCAGGGGCACCTTTGAGCAGAAACTCAACTGGGCCTTCGAGATGTACGACCTGGACGGGGACGGGAAGATCACGCGCCTGGAGATGCTGGAGATCATTGAGGTACTTCAAACCAGCAGGGGTTGTTTGCTTTTTCCAGGCTTTTCATGGATATCGGGTCCCTTTTAGCACCAAAGAATGAGTTTTCCTACCCAGAGCCTTGTGTGAAAGGTGCTTGATGTGGATCTGACAGAAATGGGTCCCAACAGAGCAGCAACCCTGTCCCTGTCCCCTGCCTTCTCCTGGGATTTTGTGTCCTTCCAACATTCCCTCTCATTCCCACTCTCATCCTTCTCCAGGCCATTTACAAGATGGTGGGGACTGTGATCATGATGAGGATGAACCAGGACGGGCTGACGCCCCAGCAGCGAGTGGACAAGATCTTCACAAAGATGGACAAGGACAAGGATGACCAGATCTCCCTGGAGGAGTTCAAGGAGGCGGCCAAGAGCGACCCCTCCATCGTCCTGCTCCTGCAGTGTGACATGCAGAAATAGAGCCCTGGCACCCAGGGCTGGACTGGCTGGAGCCAAACTCTGCCCCCTGTGATGGTTCCAATCCCTGTTTTCCCCACATTTGGCCCCAGGCATGAGGCACATTCCGCCCCTCCTGCTGCCCCTGCTGGGCAGCCCATGTTCCACACCCTCCCAGGGCTGCTCCGAGCACCACCAGCCCTCTCCCCCCCTGGAGCTGGACACCCTGCAGCCACTGCTGTGTCCTTCCTGACCAGGGCTGGCTGTTCCCACATCCCTGTGGCTTTCTCCCCGCTTTCCCCCACCTGATCCTAACCCAGACCAACTCTGTCCCCTTTCTGATGTTTTTCCCCCCCACTTCATGGCTTGTGATGTCTCCAGGGAGGCTGAAATGTCCCAAGTCCTGCTCCTGGTCCCCCCTTCACTGGCAATTCCCTGGAAAGCTGCTCTGAGAGGCCAGGGCAGGGTCTTGCACCAGCTTTAGCTCTTCCACCTCTGTTTTTCCTGCTGGGAGCAGCCAGGGTTGCTCAGGACGCTTTAGCAGAGAACAGAAGTGTCCAAAGCCAGCCCTGGACGTGGCCAGTGTCCCATCCCAGAAGCCACCTTCCATCCCATCAGCTGGGTGACATCCACAGCTGCCCTGGCTGCTCTGTGGCATTTCTGACCCGCCCCAATATTGAGGTGACCCCAAACTGGAGGCAGGGTCAGGAGTGTGGGTGTGGAAGGCAGCTCCTGCTGCTGCTGCTCCCGGCTGTGGGGACAGCTGGGAGCTGGATTGGGGCCGTGGGGACGTGTCCTGTACCTGCTGAGCCTCCTGGCAAAGCTCTGAGGCCACAAGAATCAAATCTGTCACCTTCCTCCCCGCTCCCAGCCTGCTGCACCCACCCCTCCTGCCCCAGGTTGGTGTTCAGTCTGCACGTTGTGGTGTTGGTGGCTGTGGTGTTTGTTAGGAGATGGTGAAGTCCTTTCCTATTTTTTTAATGGAAAAATAAACTGTCCCCTGTGTGTGGTGTCCCCCTCTGGGTGGTTTATTGCGGGGCTGGGGACAGTGAGGTGACAACTCTGTGCTTCTGAGAATGTTTTAGGGTGGAGAAAGCCCAGGGGAGCCTGAAGGTGGCTGGAAGTGAAACCCTTCAGTCCTGCAGGCAGCTCTGGGAAAGAAGAGAACGTCACTTTTGGGGTGGGGGAGGCCCAGACCCCAAACCTCCCTGGAAATGGGTCTCATTTGTCAACCAGGAGCTGCCCCCGGCTGTGCCCTTCCCTCAGGGCTGGTGGCTTTGTCCTGGGCTCCATCCACCAGCAGCTGGGACCTGCTCTCAGTGCATCTTTGTCCTTCTTTTCTCCACCCCCATCTTCCCCGCACAGATTTTCCTCTGGCCTTTCTTCTCCCTCAGCAGCCTGCACAGACAGTGACTGTTGCTAAGGAGCTCTCACCAAATTTTAATCCTGGTCTGTAATCAATCCGGCAGGGCTGGCTCCTGGGCAGCAGCGCTGCCTCCAGCTCACCCCACCCCAGGCAGACCCTGCAATTCCCCAGCCCTTGGTGTGTCCTGCAGCGGAGCACGGGGATGGGAAGGTGCCAGAAGCACGGCAGGGAGTGTATTTTTAGGAGTGCTGCTGATGGGAGAGCTCTGTACCTCGGCTTTGGCTGCTGTGCTTTCCAGGAGCGCGTGTGTGTGAGTTTGCAGCTCAGCAGTGCCTGGGGAAGAAGGAACGGGGCAGTTTGTCCCACCCTGCGGGAGCCGGGACGTGCCAGGGCTGCTGCCTGAAAGGGCAACAACTCAAAAGCTCAGGAGAGAGCTCCAAGAATAGCCTGGTGATGCCGGGGCCCTCCAGGCTCCTGCTTCCCTGGGGGCCACCCCAAAGGAAGCTCAGGTGTTTCCCAGCAGGGAGCTGCAAAGGCCCTGGGGAAAGGAAATCTGTCAGGCTGAAATGATGCTGAATCCCCAAAGGGGTTTGGATTCCTGGAGCCAGCCCTGCTCAGCAGCTCACAGCTTCTCCTGCCTCTGCTCTCCTGCTTGGAGCTCGGTGCAAGTGGGGTGGTGTTGGGTGGATGGGGACACGGGGGTCCCCGAGGCTGTCCTCTGCAGGGAGGGTTGGTTTTTTCTTTAGCTGGAGCACAAGAATTTGGGTAAAACCCTGTTCTGTCACCTCCCCCCAGGAGCTGCCCTGTTCCAGGTGAGATCCTCCCATCCCCTGCCCCTTCCTGGCTCTTGGCTTTTGGTCTCTGGGATGCAGCCCCTGCTCTCCAAGGGCTCCTGGGGGTCTCCTGGTCGTGGGGGGATTTTTAACCTGAGCTGAACAGCTCTGTGGCTGCTCCCACCAGCACCCGTGGGAGCGGAGAGCCTTAATTAACACCCGCGCTGATTCCATTAATGAGTGAACGGCGCAGAGGTCACCCTGGCACGGAGCAGGGCCCCACCACACCTCTGTCCTCCCCTGCTGCCACCACCCTGCTCCATCCTCTCCGGCTGCCAGCACTGCGCACCCCGCGCTCTCAGGGATGGGACCGGGACGAGCTCCGGTGTCCGCCGGTGATGCCCCATCGCTCCTGCTCCGTGTCCTCCCGGCGCCACCTTTGTCCCCAGCCCCTTCCCCTCGCTCCCGGGCCTTCGCTGCCCCCTGCGCTGGCTCTGCCCTGCAGCGGGGGCTCCCTCCTCAATTCCCCGCAGCCCCCCGCTATCACCGGGGGGAGCGCGGCGGCGGCGAGGAGCGCTCGGTCCCGAAGAGGTTAATCCGTGGCCCGGTGGACTGAAACCCCGGAGCTTCATGGGATGCCTTATAAAGAGCGTTCCGCCGGGCCGGCCCCGGCTCCGGGAGCTCCCGGGACGCGCGGAGCCGCCGCTGCCCCGGAGCCGCCGCGCTATGGAGCCACCGGGCCCCGCCGGGGCGCCGGGCCGGCCCTGGGATGAAGCCAAGGCTTTCTACGACAATCTCGCCCCCAAGAAGAAGCCCAAATCGGTGAGAGCCCCCAGCGCTCCCTGCCGCGGGGGGACGCAGCCCCCTGCCCCATCTCCTGCGGGTGCCCCCCCAGCTCTCCAGTCAGCTGGCCCATCTCCTGCAGGTTCTCCGGGCTCCTCCTGGGAGCCTCCTCTCCTCTGCATCCCCCCATGGAGCCCCCCCGGCTGTCTGTGGGTGCCCCGGCTCCTCCAGGCTCTCTGAGGTCCCTGCCGGTGCCTCCACGTGTTTTGGGGTGACCCTGGGTCTCTCCGTGTTCCTCGTCTCCTCCAGGCTTTGTGGGCCCCCCCCGTGGTGTCTCTGGTGTTTCTTTCACCCCCTGCCTCCATCCAGACCCTTGGGGATGCCCTGGCTCTCTCCAGGTGCTCCCACTCCTTCACGGCATCCCTGCGTTTCCCTTGGTTGCCCGGGTTCCCCCCGGTTCCCCCCGGTTCCCCCCGGTCTCTCTGGGTTCCTGCAGCTCCCTCTGGTGCTCCTGGCTCCCTCCAGGGCTGGGGTGTCCTTGCAGAGCGGCCCGGGGCCGCGTCAGCCGCCTGTCCCCTGCTGCCAGGGACAGGAGGGGTGGCAGTGGCAGGGCCG